GTCACCTCTCAACCTTTTTTTGCATGGGAACATCCATCTCTGTTTATATTGTATTATGGTATCGGTTATGGACCCTACTGTGAAATGTACTTATACATCTTATTTAAATAACTGCTGAAAGAAACATACCTTTAATTTATCAAACTTATCATCTACATCCTGCAACCATGACATAAATTGACGTGCATTGAATCGATCCCTCACCGATGTTTTGTTTTCATCACCCTAAAGTGAAAATTATACAATAATAATTTTTTCCAACAATTGTTCAGTAACAATTAAAATAATTCTTATTCACATCCTCCACCCAAAAGGCCAATTTCGTCTTCACCTGCGGATCCTGAGGCATATTGTAAACCTCCGCATCCAGAAGCACAGTACAGGCACTAAAAGGCAAAGTTTGATTTGCTAGTGTCCTTGCTGCACGGTAATGGACTCTCAGAACCTCTTGCTCATTTGACATAATAAGTTTTTCCTGAAATTAAACACAAATAAAGTACGCTCAGTAATGTAGTTATGTATATTTTAACCACTAGGCTTTTGAATATATTTACAGTAGTACAATTCAACCAATATTCAAGTAGTTACTGCAAATATTTTGAACCAATCTAGTGTCCGAAAAGGGAGGAATTCGTTTTCAGATTTGGTAAAAAAATGTAATGATCCGGGTCTTTAGACATAATAGTGAGGCTAATAGAACTCAACGTTATTGAAGTGTAACTCAGGCAGTAACCTCTGGTGAATTCACATGCTCAGTTAAACATGGAAATCAGAAATTTGATTCCCAAGTTTCCCTACATTTCCAAAAGCTGCAAGATAAAGGCATACACTTACTTGGATGTAGACCTGTTTGGGCCATTTGAGGGGGAAAAAAAAAATTCACTTGGCCTCAACGGACACAAAAGCAAAATCTATTTCCAAGTGGCCTGAACGGACCTGTAGACACAATGAGTTCGAGTCTTTCAGGGAGAAAAAAAAAACATTGCTTTAAGGTCTGTTTGGGCCAAGCAAAGCCTACCCCCCAACAAAGGGCCCGAACTCAGCGCGTCTACAGGCTGGTTCAGATCCATCCTTGAGAAGACCTTCAGATTTTAGATCATTTCAGTTTTCAGATGTGCAGATAAAGGATACCGCACTTGCAATCGGAAATTTTTTGAAAGAATGCTTTCTCAGATTCCCATGCAGGGTGCCACACCAAAACAGTTTTTAAAATCAGTCCAAGCTCCAGTGCAAAAAAATCCAGCTCTATTAATTCCTGTTTCTTGAAGATCCTTTTAATATTTAAGGACATAATTCCAATATGGTTTTTAGATGGCCCTCAAAACAACAGATCGAAGAAGAGGGTTTCATTCTATATTATGCAAGACAAAAGAGATTCACAAAAACATGTACCCGTTCAATACTATGCTGCAATCGAAGCTTCATTCGTATAACTTCATGTTGCCTGAAGAGTTCTTTCAGTGCTTCAGACAACGATGGAGGAGGAGTAATCTAAAAGCAAAATATAAAAGCAGCAATCAATATTAATGGGAAATGCTACAACTTGAAACCTTTGCAGTAGTCCATGCTGACAAAATTCACTAAAAAAATACTTCTTTACTACTTTCCTCCTAATAAATGATTTACTCGATGATGATTAATCTACTTCAAAAACTAGAAACTGGTCATGAACAAAGGAGTAGCACCTTCTACATAGTTTCCCCCTGAGTTAGCTCTGAACTTACAGATTTCTTGTTTTCCTCTCATTTCTCCAAATACCCTTTCCAAACTCATTTGTCCATGAGGTCCACCTTGTGCTCCCTTGATATATTAATGATGAGGGGACTAAAATGTAATATCTTCAAATCTACAGACAAAACAAAACTGGGTTAGAAGGAGGAGGAGGATGCAGAGATGCTTCAGCATGATCTGGACAAATTGAATGAGTGGGCAAATGCATGTCAGATGAAGTATAATGTAGATAAATGAGAAGTTATCCACTTTGGTTGCAAAAACAGGAATGCTGATTGTTGTTAGAATGGTGATAGATTGGGAAAGGGGAACGTGCAAAGAGACCTGGATATCCTTGTAGCTCAGTCAGTATGCAAGTGCAACAGCTGGTCAAAGCAGCAAATGGTATGCTGGCCTTCGTAATAAGACGACTTGAGTTCAGGAGCAAGGATATCTTGCTGCAATTGAATAGGGCCTTGACGAGACCGCGCCTCGAGTATTGTGCAGTTTTGATCTCCGTATTTGAGGGATCATGTTCTGGCTATGGAGAGAGTACAATAAAGATTTACCAGACTGATTTCTGGGATGGCATTTGGAATATTGAGAGCAGTTTTGGGCCCCAAATCTAATGATGGATTTGCTGGCATTGGGGAGTACCAGAGGGGGTTTACAACAATGATCTTGGACTGTGATGATATTATGGCTTCAAAAGGTATATTTTGTCCTTTTTTGACGAGAGTTTTTGAGCTTTAGGTATGAGCTATCTCATCCAAGCCAACAAACAGCTTTGAGGCCTTAGGTTTTTAAAAAAAATGTTGGAACAATTGAAGCAGCATGACTGGGTAGAATCAGGCTCCCACAGAACCAGGGTTTTAATTTAGCTTTCATAGTTGTTGGGGTTTTAAAGTTGGCTGTGAAAACTTTTTCTGTCTCTGCTACAGCTAAAAGCTTGGGTTCTCTGTCTCTCATGTGATTCTGGCAGCAACCCGTTTTACTGACTTCGCCAAGGGTGTGTTTATGGGAATTTTACTATTTTGGAACATTGCAGTGTAGTAGTTAAATAATCTATTATTCTGTTAAGTTTTCCAGTAGAGGTAAAGTTACAATCAAAAGACAAATTGATGTATTTTAGATGTAGGGTAAGAATAAAGTGAGCTTTACTGAAGCGGAGTAGTGTAACCAAAGTACACCTAGAACACAGCACCTTATACTTCCTTTTGTATAACATAAAAGTTAGGGTCCAGGCTATCTCCAAGAAATTTGAAGGGGATCTGGTCTGGCCCATGAAAAAGGATAAAGGGCTTATCATAAAAAGGTGCAGTTGAGGACTCTGAATCTGTACTCAATTGAGTAAAGATAAAAGGTGGAGTGGGGGTGGGTCTCATTGAAATTTACAGAATACTGATGGGCCTGGGGTACACTGGACATGGAGAAGATGTTCCCATTAGTAGGACAGACAAAGACCCAAGGGTACACACTCAGTGTTGGGACAACCCTTCAGAACTGAGATGAGGAGGAATTTCTTCAAACAGAGGTGATAAATCTGTGGAACTCAGTTCTGCAGAAGGCTGTGGAAATCAGGTGATTTGAGTATATTTAAGACAGAGATAGATTCTTGATTCGTAAGAGGATTAAGGGTTATGGGAGAAGGAAGGGGAATGGGGTTCAGAAACAATCAGACGTGATTGAATGGAAAAGCAGACTCAATGGTTGAAAAGCTTAATTCTGCTCCTATATATTATGGTTTTATGCAGGATTGAAATATGATGACAGACTGGATCAGTTAACAACTATATTCACTGGAGATTAGAAAAATGAGGGATATCTCATAGAAGCCTATAAAATTCTAACAGGACTAGAAAGGGTAAATGAAGGAAGGATGTTCCTGACAACCCAGGGAATCCAGAACCAGGGGACACAGTCTAAGAATACCGGGAGACCATTTAGGACTGAGATGAGGAGATATTTTTTCACTCAAAAGTGGTGAGCCTGTGGAATTCTGTGGCATCTGCAGAGGTAGTAACAGTTAGCTGTTTCTTTGGAAACAAGTCTCCACAGATGCTGCCAGAACGGCACAACTTCTCCACTCTTTTCATTCCAGGTCTTCATCAACAGAGTATTTTGTCTTTACTGCTAAATGGGGTTTCAGAAGACAGTTAAAAGGACTAGCACATTGCTTTGAGCCTGCAGTCAAATGTAGGCCAGCCCAGGTAAGGATGGCACAACTCCATGGTGACACTTGAACGCATGTTCCAGGGAATTACCTTGGGGCCTCTGGATTACTAGAGTAATTACTCTTGACTGGTAATACTACTGAATGAGTAAAGAATCACAGGTAGACCAGATGACCAGGAAAGAACATCAGATTTTCTTTCCATAAACAATGTTAGCAAGCCAGATTTTTAAAATAACAATTGCTGGTAGTTTCACCCATCGTTATTCTGCCAGCAGCTGTTAGGATTTGACATCACCACTGTCACATGCAGCAATGGTATTTAATACTGCCCGGTATCTCTAAATCTTGCACTCAGTAGCCACAACATACAAGATTCACAAACATGTTGCTAATCAATTTTATTCCTCTACAAATGAACCTCTACAAGATGCTACATAAAAACCGAGTTTACGTCAAAGATCTTTGCTATTCTCCACTGCTCTTTCAATATCCTACCCTAACTATTCAAAGGCACTGAATCATTGTAGGTTATTACGCCATAAACTTGAGCAGTTCTTCTCTAGTATTCCAAGTGACCT